CGAAACTTTTAAACCAACCCAACATATTTTTGAACTCCCTAAAGAAAATGAACATTTACCTGAACCAAGACGAAGCAACCGAGTCAGTAGACCACCTTTTTACCTAGAAATATTTGTCTACCTTGGAGAACATTCTAATAAGGTTGGGGAAGATCTAAATTCAGTACCTAGAACTCACCTTGAAGCCTTGACTTGTCCAGAGAGGGAATACTAAGTAGAATCCATGAAAGATGAGTATGCTTTCATTAACCAAAACCATGTATGAGAATTGGTACCTTTACCTGAAAAACGTAAGGCCATTGGTTGTAAGTGGATTTTCAAGAAAAAGTTGAACTCTTAAGGGAAAATAGAAAAATACAAAGCAAGGTTGGTTGCAAAGGGTTCCACCCAGAAAGAAGGGATAAATTATGAGGAATTTCAACCATCTAAATCCTTGTAGCTATAGCAGCCCATTTTGACTTTGAGGTTCATCAAGTGAATGTCAAAACAGTCTTTCTAAATGGGGATTTAGAAGAAGAAATTTATATGACCCAACCTGAGGGATTTGAGGAGAAAGGGACAGAGAACCTAGTATGAAAATTTAATAAATCCTTTTATGGCCTGAAACAAGCAGCGCAACAGTTGTACATAAAATTTCAAGAGACCGTTGCTCTTGCAGGATTCTCGACAAATAATGAAGATTATTGCATATATCAAAAGGTCAGTGGGAGTGATGTGGTCTTTATATAGTTATTTGTGGATGATATGGCAATTGTTAGTAGTTCAATTGCCCTAGTAGTAGAGACAAAAAATTTCCTTACACAACACTTCGATATGAAGGATCTTGGAGAAACTTCGTATATGTTGGGCATCAAGATATTGAGAAATAGGAGAGAGAAGACTATCTAACTTTCTCAAGCAACCTACTGTAAGAGGATACAGGAAAAGTTTAAAAATATGAGTATGTGTAAGCCCATGTCAACTCCAATTGACAAACAGACGAAGCTTAGTAATAAAATGTGTCCTACCGAAGACATGTATATAAGAGTCATAAAGAGAATATCATACAGGAGCGCAGTTGGGTCCCTTATGTACGCCATGATGGGAACAAGGCCTGACTTGACCTTCATCATGAGTCTGGTGAGCCGTTTCCAAAGCAATCTAAGAGATGAGCATAGGAAAGTAGTAAAAAAAATTCTCAGATATTTAAAGGGACCAAGAACTATGCGCTCACATATAAGGGGGAACTGAAATAGTAATAGAGGGATATTCAGATGCAAGCTATCTCGCGGGTATGTGTTTATGCTTAGAAGATGTGCAGTTTCTTGGAAGTCAAAGAAACAAGATATTGTGGCTTTGTCCACTATGGAATCCGAGTATGTGGCATACTGTCTAGCTGCCAAGGAGGCTGTGTGGATTAATAAGAAGTTTCTTAATCAACTAAATTTTCATCCTGTACTTTATGAGGTGGTGTGAGTTTTCTGCGACAACAGGGCGGCTATTTGTGTCTCTAAGGAGCCCCGATTTCACAAGAATTCCAAGCATATCAAACCATACTTCTATCACCTGAGAAATGAGGTGAGAGTGAAAGAGATCGAGATCAGCTACATTTCTATAGATTTGATGATTGCAGACCCTCTGACTAAGGGAGGTGTCCCTAATATTTTTGTAAGACATGTGAGAGAGATGGGGATGAGAGAAAGTGAGGAAGCGGGAATGTATGGCCTTCAAAGGCAAAGTGGGAGATGTTGGGTTTATGTGGCCTTTAAAAGGCCTTATGAGTGTGTAATGAAAAATAATTATTATAGTAGAACATAAACTCAGTAGGAGTGTGGTCCCTCGAAGACCATACTAAGCATATGATGTTTGCTTATTCCGGACTGTGCTTGACGATCTAGACCAGACTGTTGAAAAACCCAAGATACTTAGGCATAAAAAATGAACTGAAAAGGGTTTTTGGGTTAGCCCTTGATGAGGTCGGAGCTTATGACTAGGAGAGTGAGTCGAGGGACTGTGTGACCCCTATGTGTGATGGTAGGCCTACAGAGACGGGGGCCAAAACCTCATCCATGATCCATCACACGACATGCATATAGATAGATCATTCGGGAAAACCAGATATCCACCTTTGGGTGAAGCGTATGCATGTGTAAGAGATACCCCTATGCACCATAGAGTTGTGGTCGCATCAGGTCGTGGTGACCTTGACATGTCTTTAGAGGAAGACCTGTAATCCACAGACTGGGATTGCGACTCCTTGGCTCATCGACCAAACTTTGCTAACCCGCTAATGAGCCCCTGCGTGGACTGTGAGTCATGGGAAATACTGAGTCGGTTCAATAAAGCAAGTGTGGTCTGTAGTCTACAGTTGAAGGTGGAGTACCCCTGATCGTTGATAGAATTTCTGACCATATGGATCCACTTTTCATCATATTAATTTAATTGTGTTCATTTTATTATAAAAATTATTTCAGATTTATTATTTGAATTTTTATGAATCTTTCTATATTCTATTTATGATTTTTTGAATTATAACTATGAAGTTATTGATTTTACAAATTATATAAAATTCAAATAATATTTGAATAAAATTTTGAAATATTTATAAAATTTTCATGGGGGGCCCATAGTGCATACAGGCCCACCATGTGGCAAATGAGTGGGGGGCCCACATATGCCACATATGAGTGGCACGCCCCACCCATTGCTCCCCTTTTGTTATTGCTTTGATATCAAGTTTTGTAAATTTTGGAAAGTCCATCTTATAAGCATATGGTTAAATATTGTTTGGGAAATATTGACCATATCTTATCTTGATTATTGAAGGAATATCTTGACTTGATATTATTGAAATATTATTATGGAAAATATGAGATGGATTATGAAATTTTATGGAATGCATGATATTTTAATATATTTAACTTACTTAAATATATTGATGGGAAAAATGGTTGAAGGAAAGGGGGATAATGGTTCATGAACTTTCTATAATGTTGGTGGCCCATCTATGGAATGGATGGCTTAGATCTCTCACCCCACAAGTCACCTTGATCAACGGTCCATATTCAATCTCAAGAAAGAGGCAAACTATGGGAAACCCTGAAGAATAGACCTAAATTTTATTATAAATAAAAGTGCTCTCCCCCTATCTCTATACACCTCTCTCTCTCTCCCTAACCTCTCTCTCTCCATAAACTCTCTCTCTTCCCTTTGGGCTATGTCCCTCTCTTTCTACTCTATCTCTCTTAAAAAGACCCTAGGAGGCACGCCCCAATATAGAGACTCTCTCTCTCTCATGATCTACTCTAAAGGTTGGGAAAATTAGAGTTTGAGCCTTATTATTTTGGAGTTAGGGTTTTGTAGAGATTTAAAGGTGGTTACCTAGTTTAGTTGAAATTAGCTTTTCCGGTTCGAGATTGAAGCTAGACTGCTGATCCCGCACCATTGGATGTGGTGACTCGGTGTGGGGTGTAAATAGCCCGGTTGCGGTAATCTCTAGCATCTTTTCTTTTATTTATTTTTTCTTTTATTTTATATTCTCAAGCACGGTATGAGGTTTTATGAATGGCATCAAGTAGTTGAGATTTATTTTATTGATGTGTTATTTATTTTTGGAATTTCTATTGTTTGTAATAAGACTCTATGAGTGATCTTTTTGCTAAAATTATAAAGGCCGATTATTACTAAAAACAAAAAAAATTGTATTTCCCCTGCAAAAGATCACCTAGGTCTTTCTTTCACATTTGACATGGTAAGCGTTCCTATTAAATAGGGATCTCGATCTCGATGTATTGGAAATGAGCTCTCCGTTCATTCGGGATCTCGATCTGCTACTTTTACCCTCACCAGAACTCGCTTCCCGAGCTCCGGAGCTTTGGGCGGGCATCGCTCCGACGCTCTCGCTCCCGGTAACTATGATCCAAACAACATAAATCTTTTTGTTTTTTTTCCAGATAATCCATTTCATGGATCCAAACGGCCCATTGTGATTGACTTAACATATTCAGCGCCCATAATAAATCTCGTATAGGTGGCATCCCAGCCGTGGGGGCCTCACATCCCGACCAACTCCATTGTCGTGAGATATATTAAGTAAGGGAAAAGTTTATATAAGGTTGCAACCTTAAAATGGAGAATTACATATGCACCTCAAAAATCTATCAGAAAGGTTGTTTTAATGTTGTTGATCATCTCGACATCGAGATGTACGAATATAAAAAAAACGTTTTTAAGTCTCAGAAATAGTGTATATTGCAACACATTATCTAGGCTGTCTATTTTCAATATTTTCATATGTTTGTAGATCTCATTGATTTTAACTATTTTTGGAGTTTAAAATTTTCTAATTAGATATGAAAATAGATTTTAAGATAATCCTAATAATTTTTGACAACAAAATTACATGTTATGATAAAATTTAGAGGTTCACGTTAATTGGATTGTTTAAGGTTACAACCTTATAGAAACCGCACCCTATTAGTAACGTAATAATTTCAGCCAGCATGTCAAAGTAGGTAGATAAGTTCAACAGCAGGACAACAGATCATCAAATCAATACCTTCGCCCATTTTAGGAATGCCATTCACTTCACCCATTCACCACCCCACTTTGGATTCAACTCACTCCTTCACCACCCCCTCTTACCACAATTGCATCACCACCCCTCTTATCACAATTGCAGTTATGTGCATCTTATATCTCTCTTATATAAACTTTCCAACCTTGTTCAAACATCCCAACAAATCTTAACCCTCGCCCCTTCTTTCTTTTCTCCATCACATGGACAAAATTCAGAGTTCATATTTTTCTCTATGTCATACACATTCATCAAACTGTCTTAAGTAGAAATTGAGCCTAGGACGTAGCATTACACGTAGCATTACAAATCGTCAACTACTAACCAATTAAGCTTCTGTTCTTTTCCTATCAACCTTAACCCACCACCCGTCCCTTTGTTTGCGTCCAACCTACCGCAATATATCTATCAACCTCTATCTATATTTCAGTATATCTAGCAACTCATGGCCGGAAGAAAGCACTTTTTTAACTTTCTCGCCCTTGTCATTTTAGCATATATAGTAATCAGCGCTGAAGCCCAGTGCACAGCTGATGGCACCAAGTGTCAATTCAGCTGTGGCAAGGACAGGCTCCTGCCATCATGCGCCGTTGGCTTTGCAGCTGGAGTCACCGGTGGAGCAGCAGGGCCGACATATTTTGTCACCGACTCCTCTGATGACGCCGACTACAACAACCCTAAGCCCGGGACAATACGCCACGCCCTACGCCAAGCCAGCCAAAGTCCATGGGGCCTATGGATCAAATTCAGCTATAGCATGGAGATAGCCCTGACTCAAAATCTCTTCATGGCCAGTAACACCACTATCGATGGCCGAGATGCCTACGTGACAATAACCGGATGGACACTGGTTGTCGAAGGGGTGAAGAATGTGATATTGCATAACTTTGCAGTGGCAAATGTGCCTGAGAGTGATACAGTGCACATACTAAGTGGGTCTAGCCTGATCTGGGTCGACCACATTTCGTCGTGGAATTCTGAACTAGGATTGGTATCAGTGGTCCAAGGGTCCACCGACGTGACGATATCAAATTGCCATTTAAGTAACCATAACTTTAATATGTTATTGGGTGCCTCTGATGGAGACAAGATTGATGAGAACATGAGGGTCACGGTGTACCGCAATTTCTTTGACTATTCCAACCAAAGGATGCCTCATTGCAGGTATAAATACACAAAGCTCTCCCCCCACTCTCAATCATAGAAAATGCATACACATGTGCACTTCTTAACCCAATAACCCGTGAGAAGACTAGGGACGAGCACTAGGCCCGAGTTGAGCCGAGTTCTAGCCAAGTCAAAATGTATTAAAAAAATAAAAAATAATCCAAAAAATTAGGAAAAATATGTTTAAAGTAAAATTAAACAAAAACATATCTAAATGAGGTTCAAAATAATTTTTTAAAAAATTGATGTGTGATAAGGAGTATTTCAAAAATAATCCAAAAAGACGGAAAACTATAAAAATAAGTATTTTTAGTGAAAACAAATGATAGAAAGCATAAAAAATAAATCTCTTAATTTTAAATTTTTATTTTTTTTGAATTTTTTAATATCCCTGAGTTGGACACCCAACTCGGGGATACTCGGACTCACCACCCTCGCGAGTCCAAGTTGGCTCACCTGAGCAATTAATCACTTATAAAAACTAATCTGTAAAAGCCCGGGGATACTCGGACTCACCACCCTCGCGAGTCCAAGTTCGCTCACCTGAGCAATTAATCACTTATAAAAACTAATCTGTAAAAGCCCGGTTTCTTGCCGGGACTCGCAAGGTGATCCCATTGAGCTAGTCTCGAGTCAGACCACTTATTTTAAATAAAAATTTATTTTTTTTAAGAAAAATTGGAGACTCATGGTGAGTCCCAAAGTTTGGCATTCGAGCTTGTTAAGGAGTCGAGCCAAGATTGTAGAATTACGGATCACCTCAAAAATCCATTGAAAAAAGCTGTTTTAATGTTGGAAAAGCCTCTAATTGATCATCTCCACATTGAGATGTATGAATATGAAAAAAATAAACAAAATGAGTCCAAAAAATCGTGTATCTTGCTACACATTATCAAGATCGTTTATTTTCAAGAATTTCATGCGTTTAGATTTGCTTGATTTGTATTATTTTTTAATTTAAATGATATAAAGCTAAAAATAGATTTTCAAGCACTCCTAAGAGTTTTTTATCCCAAAATTACATCTTATGATAAAATCTGGACGTGCGCCTTACTTTAATTGTTTAAAGTTGCAACGTTACACAAACTACAACCATTCGTTTTGGGAAAATTTCATCTAGAACCCTAATTTATCATATTATTTCATGGTAGACCCTCCTTCCGTTTTTCTTTCAAGCAGCATAAAACCCTTAGAGATTTCACCGCACCCCGTCATCTCTTATCTCCCTTTTTTAATGACTTTTAACCATAAAAATTATCCCCAACAAATCTTTTTATACCATTTCAACTCAAAAACTTTTTTAACCCTCTATTTTCCTTTCCACCCATTAAAAATGTTTTTGGGTTGAAATGGTATAAAAATATTTTTTGGGATTAATTTTTAAAAACAAAAGTCAATAAAAGAGGGAGATAAGAGATAGGGGGATCAAAAGTCAATAAAGAGGGAGATAAGAGATAGGGGGTATGGTGAAATCTTTAGAGATTTTCTTATGCCGCTTGAAAAAAAAAAAAATAGAATGAGGGTTTGCAATGAAATAATATGAAGAATTAGGGTTCTATAGGAAATTTTCCCGTCTTTTATTGTCCATGAATAACAGAAAAGGAGTTGCCATTGTCTATACTGTCATTTCCGTTTTGTACCTTGCAATTGAAAGCTTTGATCAATTTTCCTTGAACTTTCAACTAGTGAAGGAAAAATCGAGCAGTTCAAACTTTAACCGCTTGGTTAGATGCCGTTAGATTGGAACTGGCCACTGGCCAATTCTGATTTTGGCTGGTTTTAGTGAACCGGTCTGGTATTTAAAAAAATTATATAAAATGCCAAAATATAAGGATTTTATTTGTAATGCACTCTTTTTCATTGTCTTTCATCATTTGTGCAAATATTGGAACTTGTTTTGCCCATTAAGAGTTATTTTTATATTTTTCCCATCTTGTTTGGAAAATTTCAAAAAAACCATGGGCACAATCGATTCTTTAAAAATCTATTTTTTTCAACTTCATTTGGATGTGCTTTGTTTAATTATGCTCTAAGTATTCTTTATATATTTTTTTATTATTATTTTGTTTTTTTTTTTTTTAACATTTATTTGACCGCCCAAGACTTGCCTGGTTAGGCCGGATGAACCATTCCGGTTCGATTTCCTACACTGGTTTCAACTCATCCACCCAAAATGAAAAGTTTCAACTCAAGGAAGTTATACATTAAGTACCCAAGTAGCCATGGCCTCATAAACGTATCATCAGATCTCGTATATTTCTCTTGTCAATTTCCAATATGCTTATAGTTGTTGGTGAGCTACCCAACCATAATGGTGGTATATGGTAGGTTTCATGCTACGTGTATCATATTGTGGAGTTTGGTACATGAGTCATCAGCCATTCCTTATCAATAACAGATGGCGCTTGGGAACCAGTCATCTGCTCAAGCAGATATAAGCATAGGAATCGTTCACGACTGTCGGAAGCTGTAAAATGTCTGATGGTATAATGTCAGTTAAATTTGCAAAATGGAAATATATGCACACAAAATGGCGGTAAGCACAACACAATGTGTCTTTGCCATCCATTGCCATGATGATCAGCTAGAGATTATAATGATGTTACAGGAATGGCCCATGCTAGTTGCAGTTTACTGGTATCACTATCATCTCTTGCCATATATCTGATAGCCCCAAAGAATAGGAGAGAAGATACCTTTGAAATGGATGACCAAGTTGTGAAGTGTACTGCTTTTAAATAGATATTTCTCATATCAGAAACTGTGACCCCTCTATCAAATTCCTTAGTTACATGCTGAATGGTTTGCACTTACACACACAAAGTGCAGAAACCCCCCTTAGTCCTCTCTTCTATTTTCTTGAACTATAATTTCTAGGTCTATGCTTTATCTGAAAGCTCCATATATTAACACTCTCAATCTTTGCATATTGCCTAACTGTAACTCTTCTTTGGCTTTTGGAAACTAATTGTGGTTTTGAGCCTTAGGTGGGGCTATTGCCATGTGCTGAACAACTACTACAAGAATTGGGGATTCTACACAGTGGGTGGAAGGGTGTACGCTAAGCTTTATACAGAGATGAACGTCTTTCAGCCCGGGAAAGTCCTAGAGGTGACTCCGTATTTTCGCGGATTCAATGATGATGCAACTGCTACTATTGAGTCACACAATAATTTGTTCCTAAATGGAGCAACATTTACTTGGTTCAATCACACACCTTTAGCACCGCCACCCTATGTTAAGGCCACTGACTACCCACCTCTGGTCCCAACTAGCGTTCTTCCCACCCTTGTCCAAAATTGTGCCGGTACGCTTTTCTGGCCACAACTTGGAATATGCCTTAATACTAATTGAGAAGCAACTGGTCTTCCGCTTACGGTATCTTGAGTCGATAATGAGAATTATTTCCAATAGCTTGAATTCCAATCCATCAGTACGTTTAGTGTTTCCTTCTGCTGTTCTTGTGTGAAGAAATAAATGATCCTTGATACTTTGTCTTTGTGTTTTGATAATTGATCAACTATTGTATTGTCCAAGATAAGATAAGATTTATTTTGAGACAAGAATAAGTGTTATATAACATGTATTAAACTAGTGAATAGTATCATGGAGCTGATCTTCAAAAGCATACAAGCATTTAGAGTGGTTATCAAAAGGCTGGTTGACTTCCCTATGGTTTTAATTTTCAGGCTTTATATAAAAATACACAATGCTTATTTGCTTACTAATACCTCCCTCAACAAACCCAGCTAACTTATCCCAAAAAGAAAAAACAATATTCTTTCCTTTTGGTAATTCAAGAAGATAACAAGGAAATCTCATATTGTTATGGAAATGTATGTCACGAGACCATTTACTTTTCATACAAAGAGGACACAATTATTATTGACCATGAAATTTGGATAGCTGGGGAGATATCATTGGTTGGGCACAAAGTCTAAAATAAAACTTTTTGAATTTTGTGAGACATTTCAATATATTAGATTTCATATCCAATGGCTTAAATTAATTGTGAATTCTATGTACTTAAAGTAAATGGTCTCGTAGTATATAATCATTAATTTTATATATGTTATTTACCTTGAATTTGATGTCCTTTTAGTGCATTTTGATTTTGGTACTAAGTGGTTTGTGTGTGCATCTCTGGTGTGGAGTTGACATTAGAAGTAGGAATGTAAATGGGACAGATCGGGTCCGGATTTGGATCCAAATCCGAATAGTATACATTGGATTCGAATCTAAATCCGGATCTGATCAAGTTCTGGATATTCGGATCCGAACCTGAATAATGTACATCGGATCCAGATCCGGATTAATATATATACTATTCAAAAAATGTTATGTATATAAAATAAAAATATTCTATTAAAAAAAAACTATGTTGGATCCGGATCGGGATCGAAACGAATCCACTTGTACCTAGATCAGATCCGGATTTCAATTCAGACCTGATTTATGGGTCCAATTTTGGATTTAGGATCCAAATTTGGTGTCGATAACCAGATCCAAATTTGGTGTCCATAACCGGATCCAAATAGAGTCCGAATTCTAGATTTCGATTCCGGGTCAATTCTGAACCATATCCATGATATCCAGGTTCCACTTGTAGAGGCCAACTTGTGTACATGCATGGATAGGGCAAATTGACCTTTGGCGCTTTAAAATCCACGACCAATAATGAATGAAGAATTTAAAGCACCCAAATTCTAACAGAAGGAGGTTTCCAAACAGATGTTACTCCAATATAGTTGCCATTATTTTGAATTGTCACACATGATATGACATTTATTTTAGAAACATTCGACGTGGAGCATTTGGTAAAACCCAATATAGGAGTATCTTCACCCCAAATTTTGAGAACGTAACATCCTTAACCTAACAACCAACATCAAACAAAAAAGAAAGGCAAAAAGATAATTTAAATGCACTATGTATATGCCCGAAAAAATAATGCTCCAAACTTTTACATGGGCAGTCCAATTTTTGGATAATATACCTAATATTTCAAATTAACTTATTGACACAGCTGAAAATTTA